TATAAATGAAGTATTATTATTATTATTATTATTATTATTATTAAATATGGTCCACGGTTTCACTGTTACTACACCGTTGCAATGAGAGCGACTGGTCTCGCAAAACCCTCTTGTAGTGCCGAGGCTTATTAAATATGGCTTTCTGCGGGTGAGCAGATGGTGATGACTGGATGGAATATGTTCTGTATCAGAAACTAGAGCTGATGTGCTCTGTCCAATGCAATTTTCTGAATCAGCACCCCAAATAAACAAACCAAATTTAAAGTTGACCAAAAACTGATTCATAAGCCTTTTGGTACCAATGTTGGAGAGTGGTACCTGGTCAAAAGAGGTTGGGAACCACTGATTTAGATAAACATTTACGAAGAAGTGACTTAGCCGGTGTATGTGTTTTCACTTGGTGTGTACTTATCAGCTTAATCCTGCTAAGCAGTAGAGATTTTGCTATAGAGTAAATAGTACATATGTCCTTCATATTCACCCATATAGACGTATAGTTTGTGAACTAGCCAATTGGTAAAATACAATATGACCTCATCATTTGGGACAATGTAAGATTTCCGTTGTTTAAAATATTAAGTAAAATAAACATGAATGCAATTAATTACTTTAACTTTTTGGTTGTACAGATAAATATGAAATCTATTTTTTAACTGTGGAATCAGTGAGGAATGAATAAAAATGAAATATATACTATTCAGGCAACTTTAAAATAGGTTGCTGTGAGTTTTCCAAGTTGTCTGGCCATATTCCAGAAGCATTCTCTCCTGATGTTTCGCCCACATCTATGGCAGGCATCCTCAGATGTTGTGAGGTCTGTTGAAAATTAGGCAAGTGGGGTTTATATATCTGTGGAATGTCCAGGGTGGGAGAAAGAACTCTTTCCTGCTTGAGGCAAGTGTGGATGTTGTTATTGGCCACCTTGATTAATATTCAATGGTCTTGCAGCCTCAAAGCCTGGTTGGTTGCTGCCTGGGGGCATCCTTTGTTAGGTGGTGTTAGCTGGCCCCGATTGATTCGATTGATTGACTTTTTTCAGTGTTGCTCTTTATTTACTGTCCTGATTTGAGAGGTTTTTTAAATATTGGGAGACAAATTTTGTTCATTCTGTGTAGTCTGACATAGTTGAAGAAAATGAATGAAACCTGGCTACCAGTATTTAAAAAAACTCTAAAATCAGAACACTAAATAAAGAGGAATTAAGAAATTAAAACGATTGACTAGGACCTAAATAATCATGAAGGCCAATTCTGTAAATCCATAGCTTGCTTTTTCTGTCAAGAAGATGCATATGGTCCTTTTTTAATACACAATCCAGATTTTGGTTTGAACTGAATTATCTGGCAGTGTAGACTCTGATAATCCAGTTCAAAGCAATGTGGATTATCTGGATTGTATGGCAGTGTAGAGGCACTCTGGTAGCATAGAAGGTTAAACCGCTGAGCTGCTGAACTTGCTGACCAAAAGGTTGGTGGTTCAAATCTGGGGAGCAGGGTGAGCTCCCTCTGTTTTAATGTTTGAGATTATGCTGCTGTGTCGCTTATTGATATTGGTTTTTCATTTTATGTAATTTATTTTCTGATTTTTGTTGCGTTTTTGTGTTTATATTGTGTTTACTGCATTGATGGGCATGGCCTTATGTAAGCCGCCCCAAGTCCCCTTGGGGGAGATTGAGGCGGGGAATAAATAAAGTTTTATTATTATTATTATTAGCCCCAGCTTCTGCCAACCTAGCAGTTCGAAAACATGTGTGAGTAGATTAATAGGTACTGCTTCTGCGGGAAGGTAATGGTGCTTCATGCAATCATGCTGGCCACATGACCTTGGAGGTGTCTATGCACAGCTTAGAAATGGAGATAAGCACCAGCCCCAGAGTTGGACACAACTAGACTTCATGTCAGAGAAAACCTTTACCTTGACATTCTGATGGAGCTTCAGAAGCAGTAGTATGACACCTGGGCCACTATGCTATATGCTCATGTATAAGTCTAAAACATTATTTAGTCAAAACTTGGGCTGGCCTACCCACAGGTCAATGTGAGTACTGTATCCAAACTCTTATCCAAAAAGAAACCAACCTCTTCTCTGAGTCGAATGGCAAAACGCAAGGGCTTAATCCACCTTGGGAGACCTTTTCTTTAAAAACCACCAAACTCCTTTACTCTCTTTGACGTTGCACCACTTCTAGCCTTTATTAATCAAATCCATAAAGGCTAGAAGGGATGAGGGACGGGGCTTCTCAGTGGTGACCCCTCGGCTGTGGAACTTCTCCTTTCCTAGTGAAATCAGATCAGCCCCCTCCCTCCTGAGCTTCAGAAAAAAGCTAAGAACGTGGTTGTGGGACTAAGCTTTTGGATAGCAATCTCCTAGTGCAATAAGTGAATGTGAAATAGTGCTATGATAATTGGAATGGTCTTTGAGTATGGTATTGGATTATGTGATTTTAGTAAGTGGTTTTAATGTCTGGTATGTTTTTAGTGCTTGGTTTTAAGGTATTATTTTGTCTGATGTATAATTATGTGGCATCGAATTGTGCCTGATATGTAAGCCACTCTGAGTCCCCTTCGGGGCGAGAAGGGCGGGGTATAAATATGGCAAATAAATAAATAAATAACCCTGGACTTATCCACAGGTCATACCAAAATCTATAATTTTGATGCCAAAACCTGTCCTCAACTTATACATGAGGTCTCCTTGTATATGAGTATGTATCAGGGATGGGCAAACTTTCTAATTTGGGTGCTGCATGGTAGGCCAGAGCAGAGTGGGTGGGCTGGGAGGAAGCCCCTTCCTTTCTCTTTCCTCCTCTTCCTCTTTCAGAGGCAGAAAATGAAGGAAAGATGGGAAACGTTTGGACCCCAAAAGGGTCTGGATGAGATGGTGACAGGAGTGAAAATGTGCATCCATTCGACCCTGTATTGCCTATTCCTGATATAAAATCCTACAATCCTAGAGTTGAAAGAGACCCCCAAGGACTATCTAGTCCAACCCCCTGCCATGCAAGAAGGCAACAGTCAAAGCACTCCCCACAGACAGCTTCTGCTGAGAAGCCTCCAGAGAAGGAGGCTCTACCACACTCCGAGGCCGCCTATGCCATTCTCCAGGAAGTTGTTCCTAATCTTTTCAGTTGAATCTCTTTCCATACCATTTGAACCCTTTGCTCCCTTGTGCCCTGGTCTCTAGAGCAGCAGAAAGTCAGTTTTCCTGCTCTTCCTCCTCCTTCATGGGACACCCTTTTAATTTTTGAAACATGGTTCTCATGTCCTCTCTCTGCCTTCTCCCCGCTAAACATATCCCGGGAAGACAGGAAAAATAGAAGGAAGGAAGGAAGGAAGGAAGGAAGGAAGGGAGGGAGGGAGGGAGGGAGGGAGGAAGGAAGGAAGGAAGGGGTGGAAAGGAAGGGAGGAGGAAAGAGAGAAGGAAGACAAGACAAAAGGGAAAGGAGGAAGAGAGAGAGGAAAGAGAGAAGGAAGGATAGGATGGTTTTCCTGTCCCCTCTCTGCCTTTTCCCAACTAAGCATCTTCCAGGAGGAAAGAAGGAAGGAAAAAGAGAAGGAAAGAAAGGATGGAGGAGTGGAAGGGAAGGGAGGAAAGAGAGAAGGAAGACCAGATAAAAAAGGAAGGGAGGGAGGGAGGAAGAGAAGAAGGGAAGGGAAGGGAGGGAGGAAAGAAAAAAGACAAGACAAAAGGGAAGGAAGGAGGAAGAGAGAGGAAAGAAAGAAGGAAGGATAGGATGGTTCTCATGTCCCCTCTTTGCCTTTTCCCAGCTAAACATCTTCCAGGAGGAAAGGAGGAAGGAAAAAAAAGAAGGGTGGATGGATGGAAGGGAGGGAGGGAGGAAAAGAAGAATGGAGGAGTGGAAGGGAAGGAAGGGAGCAAAGAGAGAAGGAAAGACAAAAAAAGAAGGAGGAGGGAGGGAGAGAAGAAGGAGAGGTGGAAGGAAGGGAAAGGAGGAAAGGGAGAAGGAAGACAAGAGAAAAGGGAAGGAAGAAGGAAGAGAGGAAAGAGAGAAGGAAGGATAGGATGGTTCTTATGTCCCCTCTCTGCCCTTTCCCAGCTAAACATATTCCAGGAGGAAAGGAGGAAGGAAAAAAAGAGAAGGGTGGATGGAAGGGAGGGAGGAAGAGAAGAATGGAGGAGTGGAAGGGAAGGGAGGGAGGAAAGAGAGAAGGAACACAAGACAAAAAAAGAAGGAAGGAAGGTAAGGAGGAGGGAGGGAGGGAGGGAGGGGAGGGAGGGAGGGAGGAAGGAAGAAGGAGAGATGAAGGGAAGGGAGGGAGGAAAGGGAGAAGGAAGACAAGACAAAAGGGAAGGAAGGAGGAAGAGAGAGAGGAGAAAGAAGGAAGCATAGGATGGTTCTCATGTCCCCTCTCTGCCTTTTCCCAGCTAAACATCTTCCAGGAGGAAGGAAAAAGAGAAGGGAAGAATGGAGGAGTGGAAGGGAAGGAGGGAGGAAAGAGAGAAGGAAGACCAGACAAAAAAGGAAGGAAGGAGAACGAGGGAAGGAAGGATAGGATGGAAGGGAAGGGGGGAAAGGGAGGGAGGAAAGAGAAGGAAGAAAAGACAAAAGGGAAGGACAAAAGGAAGGAAGGAGAAAGGGGTGAGGGTAAGAAGGGAAGGAGGATGGAAAGAGAGAAGGAAGGACAGGGTGGTGTGAGAGAGGAAGGCCTGAGAAAAGAGCCCAAGGGGCCACACCTGGCCCCTGGGCCTGGGTTTACTCATACCTGGTATATATGGTATATATAATCCATATGGGTCTCTTGAAAAAAAATCTATTTACAAGTCAGCCAATTAAATATAATGGAAATTATTATTAGTTTCCCATTATATTTGTTAAATGTAAGGCAATAAGTGAAAAATGTAAGAAGAAATTTGCCCAGAATTCAGTCCCAATTTGGTCACATTAGCCATATTAAAATGTCTGTATTATGAAATGGAAAATTATTATTTTGTATGACTCTAAACATCTCAGTATCCATTCCTTTTTTTTCCTCCCCCAGGAACGAGGTTGGGGGAGAGCGACCCCTTTCGCGTGCTGTAAAATCCCCAAAAAGCCAAGGATAAACAAAATAGTTCCAAGAATATCTCACCAGAAAATCACATCTAGTCTGAAAAAAAACATGGACTGGGTGAATCAACTGGAAAGCAAGAAACAAAAAAACCATCGCAAATTTCCTAAAAAAGAAACCATTTCAAGCAATCAAGAGATTGGAGTCAGCAGCATCAAACCATACAAGATGACAACCAATTCTGAAAGAGAAAGGATGAGAAAAAATTTAAATACTATTCAAACATTTCTAGGTGAAGAGAAGACCTTGCCTATAAAGGAATATGAAATCAACTCACAAGAACAGACAGGACCTAAAGCCATGAGATATGATGAGATCAACCTGCCACAAGTAATTCCCAGCAACTTGAGCTATATATCCTTAAATGCATTGTTGGTCTTTAGGCAAGATGAATTTGGTGTAATCAACATACATCTGGAGACCCCTTTCAATAACGGAGCAACTGCTGCAAAAAGAACGAAAAGAGAAGACACCACGCCTGACGAAATGGTATCCCACAGACCTGCAACTAAAAAGGTCAAGCCAAAGAATAGAAAAAAAATTGGTATGAATAACGTGGTAGAAAAATCCAATACAAAAATAATGTACCACCCTTTGATTTGTCCACAAGACTCAGGTATTTTGTCTTTCTCTGAAATGTGTTGGGTCTTTTCCCTGGCCTAGAATGATTTTGTGAAGCCATTACTATTTGATTTGCAAAGATATTGAACGTAATTACTGCGTTGGGAAAAAAAAAACGGACAACCCTCAAGGTCAGCAACATCACAAATTAGACTGTGAACTTAATCATTAGGATTCATGTACTCAGCTTCTCCTTGGATTCAAATATTTGGGATCCATGAGCTCTGGTTCTCAACTTGGGGATCGGGGGGTCGCAAGGGGTGTCCAAGGGGCCATCAAAGACCACCAGAAAACACATATTTCTGATGGTCTTAGGAATCCCTTTAGCAGAGAAGGCTGGATGTAGGTGAACTACAACTCCCAAACTCAAGGTCAATGCCCACCAAACTTCCAGTATTTTCTATTGGTCATGACAGTTCTGTGTGGAAAGTTTGCCCCAATTCTGTCCTTGATGGGGTTCAGAATGCTCCTTGATTGTAGGTGAACTATAAATCCCAGTAACTACAACTCCCTAATGTCAAGGTCTATTTCCCCCAAATTCCATCTGTGTTTATATTTGAGCATATTGAGTATTCATGCCAAGTTTGGTCCAGATTCATCATTGTTTGAGTCCACAGTGCTCTCTAGATGTAGGTGAACTACAACTCCAAAACTCAAGGTCAATGCCCACCAAACCCTTCTAGTGTTTTCTGTTGGTCAAGGGAGTCCTGTGTGCCAAGTTTGGTTCAATTCCATCTTGGTGGAGTTCAGAATGCTCTTTGATTGTAGCTGAACTATACATCCCAGCAACTACAACTCCCAAATGACAAAATCAGTCCCCCCCCTTCCCCAACCACACCTATATTCAAATATGGGCGTATCAGGTATTTGTGTCAAATTTGGTCCAGTGAATGAAAATACACCCTGCATATCAGATATTTACATGACGATTCATAACAGTAGCAAAATTACAGTTATGAAGTAGCAACGAAAATAATTTTATGGTTGGGGGTCACCACAACATGATGAACTGTATTAAGGGGTTGCGGCATTAGGAAGTTTGAGAACAACTATGCTAGCTGGTTACATGGAATGGGCAAACCATACTCAAAATGGAAAGGGATGCTCATTAATTTTTGAGGCAAATTCAGTCCTAACATGTCACGATAATTGTGAATGTAGTACACAGTTGCATGGATGGGTCTCCCATTTTTTAAAATATTTCTCAATTCGCCAATTTTCATGCAAGAGAAAGCCTGTTTCGCTTTCTCTTGTAATCATTGCCTCTCCTTAGGAAACCCTGCAGAGCTGCCACAAGACAAGAAGGAAATATCCTCTTATCACGCACTTTGCAAGACACAAGTGTTGTGTGGAAAACTTGAAATGACCTTGTTTCTGTAGCAGTCCTGTGATATCATGGCTTCTAATTAATAAAATCACAACTCATTTATCTTTCAACAGTAGGTACATTTCTCGAAAGTAGGTCTACCATAGCTCATAGCTTCAAGAACAAATTTTATTCTGTCAGATGCATATCTTAAAGAATGCAAGGAAGAGTAAAAGACCATACAGCAGCATTTTTCAACCTGGCGGTCAAGACCCTGGGGAGGGGGGCACGAAGGGTCACCAAAGGCCATCGGAAAACACAGTATTTTCTGTTGGTCATGGGGGTTCTGTGTGGCAATCTTGGTCCAATTCTATTGGTGGGTTCAGAATGCTCTTTGATTGTAAATGAACTATAAACCCCAGCTACTACAACTCCCAAATGTCAAGGTCTATTTTCCCCAACTTCACCAGTGTTCAAATTTGAGCATTCATGCCAAGTTTGGTCCGGATCCATCATTGTTTGAGTCCACAGTGCTCTCTGGATATCGGTGAACTCCAAAACTCAAGGTCAATGCCCACCAAACCCTTCCAGTATTTTCTGTTGTTCATGGGAGTTCTGGTTCAATTCTATCATTGGTGGAGTTCAGATTGCTCTTTGTATGTGAACTATAAATCCCAGCAACTGCAACTCTGACTAAAATCAGCAAGAGTTTGAGGGCAAAATACAGGTTGAGGCAGCATGACTTCCTTTTTTAAAACGCGTGCCATTCAGTCGATTGAAGACGTAGCGGAGTGCTAGTGGTCTCATTCGAGAGGCGGGAGTATAAAGTTTTGTCCTGACACAGTTCAGTCGCCATCATGTGTTGGAACAGTGAGGAGCGTGCTTTTGCCGTTGAGGCCTACTTTTCGAGTGGATTTGGAGTGGCTGGCCCGTTCTCCAGATTTGGCCCCTTGTGATTTTTTTTCTATGGAGTTTTTTGAAACCCCGTGTTTATGGTTTACCCAGTGTATGGAGAATGGGGGCTATCACCTACCTAATCTGATCTTCAAAACTATGTAAAACAAAACTTTAGGTATGCGCCACATTATTAAAAAAATTCTGATTCATACAATGGGTTTTATTAAGTTTTGAAAAAAGGAAGTTATGCTGCCTCACCCTGTATAACAACAGTTTGGAAAATGAATAATTGATTATACAAATATGTTGGCGGGCTGTTATCAACAGTATTGAACTATAGCAATACTCACTATAGTTTTCAACATTTGGAAATTATAGCAATTCTTGATGAAGTCTTAAGGATCAACAACTGTACCTTCATTGTAACGTAAAATCTTTGGTTAATGTTACATGCAAGTCATGTGGTGGTTTGGTAAACAATTTGATTAGTTGGTAGACCTACCAAGCGACTTGTGTTCTGAAGCTGGTTTATATGGTTTAATTTGTAGCTCTTGAAACAAAGGTATTTGGTTGGGGTGTTCTTGTTGTTGTTAAGGATTTCTAAGAAGGCTACTCAAATTGGGTTGTTGTAGGTTTTTTCGGGCTATATGGTCATGTTCTAGAGGCATTCTCTCCTGACGTTTCGCCTGCATCTATGGCAAGCATCCTCAGAGGTAGTGAGGTCTGTTGGAACTAGGAAAATGGGTTTATATATCTGTGGAATGACCAGGGTGGGACAAAGGAGTCTTGTCTGCTGGAGCTAGGTGTGACTGCTGGACCACTCTCACAACCACCATGTCAGACTGCACAGAGAAGCCATTGAAATCCATAAGCATGTGGACAATTTCAACGGAAAGGTGGAAACCATGAAAATGAACAAAAAAACTCTAAAATTACAACAGCAAAACAACAGAGAGGAAACAATCACGGACATCCAATCACCTCTTAACAAAAGATTGTCTCAGGCACTAACAAGCTACACCAAAAAGCTGCCAGGCCATCAAATGCTAATCAAGATGGTCAGTTGAAACAGTCACACCTAGCTCCAACAAACAATAATAATAATAATAAAACTTTATTTGTACCCCGCTACCACCTCCCCAAGGGACTCGGTGCGGCTTACATATGGCCGAGCCCACAATACATCAATACAAGCAATAACAACAATACAAAGCAATTAAAATAAATCTCAACACAAATAGCATAAACATTGACAATAGCACAACACACATTTAAAATCTATGGCTGGGCCGAATGTAATTAAAATTTAAAATAATGCTGGGTATGAACACGATAGGGAGGTGGGGCGTTGGTGGGAACATACAAACAATCCTAAATCACTATAAGGTGCTTTAGAGGACATAGTGCTAAGGGTTCATTATTCTGGGAAATCACACTGGAATAACCACATTTTCAAGCTCCTCCTAAAGACTGCCAGAGATGGGGCATGCCTGAAAGACAAGAGTTCTTTCTCCCACCCTGGTCACTCCACAGATATATAAACCCACTTTCCTAGTTCTAACAGACCTCACTACCTCTGAGGATGCTTGCCATAGATGCAGGCAAAACGCCAGGAGAGAATGCCTCTAGAACATGGCCATATAGCCCGAAGAAACCTACAACAACCCAGTGATTCCGGCCATGAAAGCCTTCGACAATACTACTCAAATTGTCTCCCCAGAACCAAAAAGCATGGCGCACATATCAGAAGTCAGAACAACGTAAAAGCTGTTTTATATACTTTGGTACGATTCTTAGAATATCTGAATGCAGTACCTAACATGTTGCTCCAAGATTTTTCTGGAAATGTTCATGCAAAACTCAACTTCGATCAAATCGGCATGCAGAAATGTGAATTCTTAGGAATCGCTAGACACAATCATAACATAATGACCATATAGTTAAACTGTAAACAATAAATAAAGATGGGCAATACATTTAGGATTTGGAGGATTAAAAAGCATATAAGGAAAGCCAGGCCTGGTCCAATTATAAATGCAATCGTATGACTGTTTAACACAGCACAGCAATTACTCACAATAAATGACTTTAAAGTTTGCAGCCGTAGTGTCAAACTCAGAGGACAGGCATGACTAAAGGCGATGAGTAAGGAGCAGAGGTAGGCACCAGATGACTCATTAGTCATGAAAGGTTCAAATACATAGCAATAAGATACAGGGAACAAACGTACGCAGGAGTCATATTAATGATGAACACGTAGCAGTTAGAAGTACTTCATAATAAGACAAGGTTTGTAAACCAACTTATAAGTTCTGTTACATTCATGAGAATGGACGCCAGGATCAGTTTCTCCGACCCGCACATAACATAATCCTCAGGAAAGGCAGAGTTCACAAAAAGCACTCACGGGCTTGTCTTATCAGTACTTTGAAACAAAGAGCACAATTCTGCACAAGTCTGTGTCTCCACTGAACTGAACTGTGATTCCATTGTATTCCAGGCCAAGTCGGCTAAAAGAAAGTCATCCATCGCTGTCTGGGTCTCGTTGCTGGTGAGAAATAAGCTGCCTAAAGTTTCAAAGCAGCTATCCATGGTCTGGGTTTCAGCGCTGCTCAGTTCCACTTTGCATTCCGCCATTTGGTTGGAGGCACTCCGCTCAGGAAACTGCATTTCTGTTTGTGTTTCTGTATCAGACGAATCTGTGCTCATAGAGAAGGCAGACTGCTTCAGGATGCTCCCCAAGGAAAGATAGGGGCTGTCTAGAAAGAAATTTAAGTCCGTCTGGGTCTGTGTGTCAAACATCTCCAAAGCCAAGAAACTGGGATTATTTCTGCAGTTATAGGGCTGTATGGCATCATCTGAAAATAAATCCGTCTGAGTTTCAATATCTAGAGATTCCAAAACGGGCTCAGTGCTCAAGTTATCAAGCTTGGTCTCTTCTGTCTGCGTTTGGATATTGGAGGCAGTGAAGAAGTCCTCAATGTCGAAATCTATTCCTGCATTCTGTGCAGAGCCAGAAGGAAGGGGAGTGTTGGAATTTGAATTAGTGTCTGCCAACAGAGTACGGTTATCCAATGGCTGTCCTGCTGTATTACTTGAAAAAATAGTTTCGAGATCATTCAGTAACTCCATTGTCTGGGTCTGATTGTCTGTCATAATATTATTCTGTGCACTGAAGCTGATCATTGGTTCACACTTTGTCTCCTGATTCAAAGACCTGCAGCTTCCTCTTTGTAACACACTTTGACCCAGGCTTGTTGACACTAAGTTGGGGCCCGAAAGAGCCACGGGGCTTGAATCGTTAAATGATGAGCTGACACTGTCAAAAATGTCATTGCACATCACAGACTGGTCCATTTGTACTCTCCCATCCTTATCTTTCTGTGACCTATTGGTCTGAGTCTCCCGTGAAATAACACCAGACTGGAAACAAGCCTGAGCGAGTGTGTCGGTCTGAGCAGCGATGGAGGAAGTCAGCTTTGAGCAAGGTAACAGAGTCTGTGTCTGTACACTAATTGGCAGCAAAACCTGCGAACTGAACGTCAGGTCTGTCTGAGAGCAAGACGAGACAGAGGAATCGGCAGCCCAGGCTCCAGAAGGCACAAAGTTCTGTGAAATGTAAGATAAATCAGTCTGTACGTTTGTGGAGCAAATCCCATTCTTGTAGCATATGGCCTCCAGACCTTGCATTGCATTACCTGATGGCGTAACTTTACCCAAATTGACCTGGACCCCCGTGCTGACTGGCTCCACGCCGCCTGTGTTTTTGGTTTTAGAAAAGGGCAGGGAACTTTTAAGTGCATTTGTTTCAGTCTCCAGCGCAGGCATCATAAATACGACAGGCAGAGGCATTAAGTGAACAGTGTTCATCACAGAGCCTTTGTTATCAACAGCAACGACAACAGGTTTGACAGAAGAGTCCGGTGCTGATACAAAGACAGGCAAGTGAGTAAGCTGCATTACAGGGAGTTTAACCAAAGCCACTTTTGGTTTTGGCAGAAGCAACTTTGGTGCATTTTTTGGCTGTGTTTGTGTTTGTTTCGTTGTATAGGATTGGTTGGAATCCTCAAAGGAAGCTGCTGGTTTGATCTCAGAAGTCTCAAAGTCTTTAGAGTGAGTGAATTCCGTCTGGATACCGGCAGGTGCCTCTTTCACTTTTTCTCCCAGCAGCTGATTGGATATTGAGGTTTCTAATTTCCTTTTCTTACTAGGTGGATCCCTGCAAACATGAACACATTCTTAACAACTGTGGTCAACAGTAGCACACTTTTTAGTTAGATAAAGTTAGGTAGAAATAAAATAACCAAATAATAAAAATATCCCCCTCCACCTGTAGAAATACCTTCTAAAGTCAAGGTCAACACTCCCAACAGGGAGGTAGCATTCTATCTTAAACTGAGCCAAGAAAAGAACAGAATTTTCCCATCGTGGTCAACTGTGAATCGCACATATGGTAAATTCTGCGCCTCAGCAGACAGCTTCGGAACCTTCTAGATAGATTTGATAAACTTTGGCGGTTGGCCCCGCCCACTTTCCCCTTGCAAGTATAAGTAGCAGGAGGGCGGAGCCACCGCCTCAGTTCTTCTTATCCGCCACCATATGTGCAAATTCACAGGTGACCACTCGGGAAACTACGGTTACAGGTAAGCAACCTATATTTTTTAAAAGAGCCTTTCAACTAAAAAGATCATTTCTACCTTGCTGCTCTTACTATTATTAAATCAATTTTAGTAAAATGAAGAAAATTGGATTGCTGCGAGTGTTTCAGGCTGTCTGACCATGTTCCACAAGCATTCTCTTCTGACGTTTCACCCACATCTATGGCAGGCACCCTCAGAGGTTGTGAGGTATATTGGAAACTAAGCAAGGGAGGTTTATATATCTTTGGAATAATGTCTACGGTGGGAGAAAGAATGGTTGTCTGTTAAGAGGCAAGTGTGAATGTTGCAGTTAATCACCTTGATTAGCACTGCAAAGCCTTGCAGCTTCAAGGCCTGGCTGCTTCCTGCCTGGGGGGAATCCTTTGTTGGGAAGTGTTAGCTGAAATGTTGGACAACTCTTAACAACCACCATGTCAGACTACACAGAGACGCCATTGAAATCCAAAAGCATGTGATGATTTCAACAGAAAGGAGGAAACCATGAAAACAAACAAAATATGGCTACTGGTATAAAAAAAAATTCTAAAATTAGGACAGTAAATAAAGAACACTCTGAAAATGGGAATTCCAGACATTAAACAATCAGGGCTAGTTATCACCTCCCAACAAAGGATTCCCCCCGGCAGGAATCAGCCAGGCTTTGAAGCTGCAAGACCTTGCAAAGCTAATCAAGGTGATTAATTGCAACATTCACATTTGCCCCAAGAGATAAGAGATCTTTCTCCCACCCTGGACCTTCCACAGATATATAACCTCTCTTGCTTAGTTTCCAATATACCTCATAACCTCTGAGGATGCCTGATATAGATGTGGGTGAAATGTCAGGAGAGAATGCTTCTGGAACTTGGCCAGACAGCCTGGAAAACTCACAGCAACTCAGTGATTTCACCCATGAAAGCCTTCAACAACACAATGAAGACAATTGTTTCATTTGAAAACACATTTAGTAAAAGCATTGAAAAAGGAACCAACTGAATGCAACATTAAGCAGAAATCATGCTTGCATTCATTGCTAGACAAAGAAACGAGCTGTTACCTATACTCAAACTTGCCTTAGATTATTCAGCAATTGTATAATCCGGCAGCAATTTTAATTTAAACAGACAACAATGCTGAGTGAATTGCCTTTGGTACTGTTTTCTGATTAGTGTATTCAATATTCATGAACCTATCATGTTAAACTTCTTGATGAATAATTTCCTGAGCATTCGTTGCATTTTCTCACCTCTTGAAAAGGTCTACAGTAAACAGCATTCAGATTCACTAGGCTAGAACTGCTTGTAGAAAAATAATTGACCTTAGATTCTATGTTGTCAGCAGAAACTTTAGAGGAAAGCTAAGAGCAGAAGAATAGTTAGCAGAGGCAGTAATACACACAAAGTGTTCTAACTCAAAGTTAAAGGCGTGTTTGTGCCCATATAGAAAAGCATAATGAAAATTATTCCTCTCACCGGTGTTCAGCAGGGATTTCATGCTGAGTCCTATAAATGTGAGACAAGAGTGCTGTCCTGCTGGCATAGGGACACCCACAGGTGCATTGGAAGGTCTTGCCGCAGTCCTCAACATGCCGCTTAAGGTCCCACACAGTGCCGTAGGAATTGCTACACTTGTCACATTTATGCTTTTTTTCAGCATGCATTTTCATGAAGTGCTGAAACACATAAAAGCAATCAAGAAGGTTACAGGAACATAAAATAACGATCTATAATGATGGGTCTATCCAGCTCAATATTCTCTATACCAGGGGTCCTCAAACTAAGGTCCGGGAGCCAAATGCAGCCCCCAAGGTCATTTATCCGGCCCACGCTCAGGGTCAAGCTAAGTCTGAAATGACTTGAAAGCACACAACAACAATCCTATCTCATCAGCTAAAAGCAGGCCCACACTTCCCATTGAAATACTATTTATTTATTTATTTATTTATTTATTTATTTACAACATTTATATGCTGCCCTTCTTACCCCGAAGGGGACTCAGAACAGCTTACAAGATACTGTATATACTTGAGTATAAGCCTAGTTTTTCAGCCCCCTTTTTAGGCTGAAAAGGTTCCTCTCAGCTTATACTCATAGAGAAACCGCATAGAGTCGCCTGTCTGGGCTGAAATACGCGGTATAGAAATAAAGCAAATAAATAAATAAATAAATACTCGAGTCAAGGTTATTTATTATTTTACACTGTTATTAGTATTATTTTTATTACATTTATTATTTTACTCAATTTATTATTATGATTATTGTTATTACATTTATTATTTTACTCGATTATTATATTTATTATTTTACTCTAGTATTATTATTATTATTATTACATTTATTATTTTACCCTCTTTATTATTATTGGAAGGATATGTAAGCACATTTACATTGAAGGTTACAATAATGGTTTAATCAGAGTTGGACAGTCTTATCTTAAATTACAGTTTTATGTAAATACTCAAATACATTTGACCTACTAATAATTACCAGTAGTAGCTGCATTTTCCATCCTTGGCTTATACTCGAGTCAATAAGTTTTCCCAGTTTTTTGTGGTAAAATTAGGTGCCTTCGCTTATATTTGGGTTGGCTTATACTCGAGTATATAGGGTATATATACATACAATATATATTATTAGAATAGCACAATATCAGTATTATATATTACTATATTGTGCCATACCATTATATTGTAATATTATTAGTAATATTACATGTAATATAAAATATATAATTATAATATCGTATTATTAGTAGAAATATTATATTGTATTACATTATAATATTATAAATATTATATGCATATACAATATATTATACTATTAGGATAGCACAGGAGACAAGGTGGAACTTGTCTTTTTAAGTTTATATTTTTTTAAAATTGTTCATTTTAATTATTGTGTTGTTTTAAAGTGTTTTTTGCACTACAAATGAAATATGTGCAGTGTTAATAGGAATTCATTTTTTTTTCCAAATTATAATCTGGCCCTCCAACAGCTTGAGGGACTGTAACCTGGCCCTATGTTTAAAAAGTTTGAGGATCCCCGCTCTATACTGACGGTCAGCAGCTCTCTAGGATTTCAGCCCTTCTTGGATGTTTTAAGGACTGAACTTCAAAATCTTTTGTATTCAAAACACATACCTCTAGATTGGACTATTGCAATGCTCTCTACGTGGGGCTGCCCTTGAAGATGGCTCGGAAATTCCAAATGGTCCAACGGGCAGCAGCCAGATTATTAACTGGAGCAAATTACAGAGAGCAGTCAACCCTCCAGCTTAAGGAGCTCCACTGGCTGCCATTTATTTTACGGGCCCAATTCAAGGTGCAGGTTTTGACCTACAAAGCCCTAAACGGTTTGGGACCCGCCTACCTGTGCGACCGGATCTCCGTCTACGAACCCACGTGACCTCTTCGATCTTCCGGAGAGGCCCTTCTCTCGCTCCCGCCCGCATCACAAGTGCGCCTTGTGGGGACGAGGGAGAGGGCCTTCTCTGTAGTGGCCCCCCGGCTCTGGAACTCACTCCACAGAGAGATTATACAAGCCCCCTTGCTGGCAATTTTCAGGAGGAATCTGAAAACCTGGCCATTCCAATGTGCCTTCAATGATTGAATGTAGGACACTCCCTGTCCAAAATGACCTCAGAAGCACTTTAGTTTATGGCTTGTGCAATTAAATCCTTCCTCATCCCAGTTCCCCGTCATAACAATCATACATTGTCTATCTCCCATTGTTTTTTTTAAAAAAATAAATTTTTATTCTGAAGTGGCCCTGCCCTGTGGATTTTTTTTTTGTGTTTGATGTTTGATTTTATATTGCTGTGTTGTTTTTATATTGGTTTTTGCATTTTATGTTCTGTGTATACTGTGATGGGCGTGGCCTCATGTAAGCCACCCCGGAGATGGAGCAGGGTATAAATAAATAAATAATAATAATAATAATAATAATAATTATTATTATTATTCCTAATGAGCAAAATTACTGGGCAATTACTGGGCAAACAGTTCTTAAATTTTTAACTGTCTATTGAAAATACCCGTGTATACTCGAATATAAGCTGACCCGAATATAAGCCAAGGCAGCTAATTTTACCACAAAAAAATATGGGAAAACATATTGACAAGTATAAGCTGAGGGTGGGAAATGCAGCAGCTATGGGTAAATTTCAAAACGCAAGACATGGCTGTTCAAGCTAGCATTTGCAAATATTGAGTAATGGACACAGGAAAACAGAACAACTATACGATGGAACTGGACAATGTTTTTATTGAGGATTTACTGATTTATGTTTTTATTGTTGTTGTTATTATTTTATTGATGTTAATGTTTTAAATTGTATTTGTGGCATTGAATTTTGCCTTGTAAATCGCCTCGAGTCGCCACAAGGCTGAGAGGAGCGGTATACAAATAAAAGTAAATAAAAAAAATAGATACCAATAAAATTACATTAATTGAGGCATCAGTAGGTTAAATGTTTTTGAATATTTACATGAAACTGTAATTTAAGATAAGACTGTCCAACTCTGATTAAACTATTATTCTAACCTTTTTCAATGTAAACGTGCCTACGTATCCTTCCAATAATAATAGAGTAAAATAATTAATGTAATAATAATAATAGAGTAAAATAATTAATGTAATAATAATAGAGTAAAATAACAAATGCAAGAACAGAGTAAAATAACAAATGCAATAACAGAGTAAAATAATAAATGTTATAATAACAATAATAAATAGAGTAAAACAATAATTTATTTAATAAAACTAATAGAGTAAAATATTAAATGTAATAATAAAAGAGAAAAATGACAAATGTAATAATAAATAGAGTAAAATAATAAATGTAATAAAAAAATTTTTTGTCGTGTCAGGGCAAGTCGCTTCTGGTGTGAAAGAATTGGCTGCCTGCAAGGACGTTGCCCAAGGGACGCCCGGATGATTTGATGTTTTTATCATCCTTTTGGGAGACTTCTCTCATGTTCCTGCATGAGGAGCTGGAGTTGATAGAGGGAGCTCATCCGCCTCTCCTCGGATTCGAACCTGCGACCTTCAGTCCTGCCGGCACAGGGGTTTAACCCACTGCGCCACCGGGGACTCCAATAAAATAATAATAGAGTAAAATAATAAATGTAATATTAACAATAATATAGTAAAACAATAATACATTTAATAAAAATAATAGAGTAAAATATTAAATGTAATAAGAAAAATAGAGTAAAATAATAAATGTAAAATAATAATAATACTAACGGCTGAAAAACTCAGCTTATACTTGCGTATATACAGTACTTAAAATGTTTGCATAAATATCATGGAAACTGTTACAATAAAATCCCATCTGCACGATCTGACCCTGCTTGAATTGTAGAAGCGTTGCAAATGACTCTGAAGGAATCACATTCATTCTCACTCCCACAGGCTCAATTTTGAAACATAATAAAAATTGCAGAATGCATTTGTCAGAAGATTCAGATCCGTCACTTATGCTCATTCACTCTGAATGAAGTTAGCAGCTCATGTTCTCAGTAGTCAAATCAGGGCATTATAAGCCTGAGATAATCATGTAATTATAGCAAGAAGAGAAATACATTTTGCACAGTGATGAATCAGACCCGTCCTGAAGCAATGACTCAGCGATGGAGAATACAGTAATTATCTACTTCTCGCTTTCATTTCAATATACCAAAGTGTGTCTTTGGGTCACAGTGACTTTTCAATAGGATTCAACTGATTTCACAAGTCCACTTGCTTTTCTAACAACAGAATAAAAACCATCCAAAACATTATTCTAGTCTTCAGTCCTACAGAAAGACTGTTTTCCAACCTTCAAATGTAATAAACTCCACCTAGTAGACAACTAAAATGGAAATTGAGAAGCAGGATTTATTATTAACTAGCTGTCCCCTGCCACGCATTGCTGTGGCCCAGTCTGGTGATCTGGAAAATAAAGTAACGAGAAAGTACTGGTTTCTAATATGGGTAATGCTTGTGGGTAAAGAGTATTTCTTGCTGTTTCTTTGTCAGTGTTGATGTGGAGATTGCCTGGTTTACCTTCTCTGGAACAGGCAACATATCATTGTCCTTCTTTAGGGGTCCCTTTCAAATCTATGGTACTATATATATGTGTGCGTGTGAGTCATATATATCTGGCTCTTTGTCAGGAGGGCTTTGAATATGTTTTCTTGCCCTGGTGAAGGGAGCTGGACTGGATGGCCTTAAGTATTTTCTGTTGGCCATAGGGGTTCTGTGTGGGAAGTTTGTCCCAATTCTGTCATTGGTGGGGTTCAGAATGCTCATTGATTGTAGGTCAACAATAAATCCTAGTAACTACAACTCCCAAATGTCAAGATCTATTCCCCCCAAACTCCACCAGTGTTCACATTTAGGCATATTGAGTATTTGTGCCAAGTTTGGTCCAGATCCATAATTGTTTGAGTCCACAGTACTCTCTGGATGTAGGTGAACTACAACTGCCAACCTCAAGGTCAATGCCCACCAAACCCTTTTAGTGTTTTCTGTTGGTCATGGGAGTTTTGTGTGCCATGTTTGGTTCAATTCCATCACTGGTAGAGTTAAGAATGCTCTTTGATTGTAGGTTAAGTGTAAATCCCAGCAACTACAACTCCCAAATGACAAAATCAATTTTTTGAGTGATGGTCACCCCTTGGGTTAGTAGGTGTCTTGTGTCCAAATTTGGTGGCAATCTGTCCAGTGGTTTTTGAGTTATGTTAATCCCACAAACAAACGTTACATTTTTATTGATATAGATGTCAAGGTAACAACTTCATACAAAAATATTAAAACTAAAAAAATTCTGCAATATAATTATGCCACATACCTGTCGTACAAGTGAAAACTGTGAGAAGGGCCTTTGTGGCCCTCTCGGACAGCCTTCAATAGGACAGCAGTAGTACTTCTGTGGTGTTTTCAAGTCTTTTCTTACTGCAGGATTTATTTTTCCATCCTGAAGAAGTAAAATAATATATTTTTAAAAGAAGCAAGTATGTGGAATTAATAACAAAAGACACTATTTTCCATCTTCACTCTTGCCTGCCTTGACATGAGACCTTCGAGGGACATTTTTGGGGGGGAGGGGGGGCTTCAGTCACCGTCTATTTTTTCTACAGAACCAAAACTCCTTGTAGATTCCACTCCAAATCAAACCCCTTATTATGTAACATCAGATCAAATCGATCAGAGCAATCAAAGCATTCCTGAGCCAGGTCTCAATAATTGCCTTAGTTTGCCAAACAAGCCCAGATACATAACATCCTTGACCTGGGAGATGCGTACTTGTACCACCCCTTCCTTCGCTGATGCAATCCAGAACATTTTCAATTCATATTTTTCTTCCCCTGACCTGCATTCCGTTCACAATGACATGTAGAAAAAGGGGCAAAGTGTGGGCTCGACAAAGCAATTTTGGATTGAAACTATACAACAAGAATCAATCAGGGCCAGCTAACACCTCCAAACAAAGGATTCCCCCAAAATACAATCAGCCAAGTTTTGAAGCTGCAAGGCTCGACAAAGCAATTTCGGATTGAAACTATACAGCAAGAATCAATCAGGGCCAGCTAACACCTCCAAATGAAGGATTCTCCCAAAATGCAATCAGCCAAGTTTTGAAACTGCAAGGCCATTAAATGCTAATCAAGGTGGCCAATTACAACATTCACACTTGCCTCCAACAGACAAGAGTTCTTTCTCCCACCCTGAACATTATTTCACAGACATATAAACCCCATTTGCCTAGTTTCCAACAGACCTCACAGACCAATGGAACAGCTTCGGATTATGATTCTGGCTGGCAAGATTTTAATAACTTGTTTTAAATTGTGTTGTTTTAATGTTTGGTTTTAATAAAATGTTTATTGTATTGTATGTTTATATTTTGGCCTCGAATTGCTGAATAATTTGTAATGACGCTATGAGTCCCCTTCAGGGTAGAGAAGAGCGGGATATAAATGAAGTAAATAAGATCTTGGAGTCCTCATGGACAACAAGTTAAACATGAGCCAACAATGTTATGTGGCGACAAAAAAAGCCAATGGGAGTTTGGCCTGCATCAATAGGAGCATAGTGTCTAGATCCAGGGAAGTCATGCTCCCCATGCTCTATTCTGCCTTGGTTAGACCACACCTGGAATATTGTGTCCAATTCTGGGCACCACAATTGAAGAGAGATATTGACAAGCAGGAATGTGTCCAGAGGAGAATGACTAAAATGATCAAGGGTCTGGAGAACAAGCCCTATGAGGAGCGGCTTAAGGTGCTGGGCATGTTTAGCCTGAAGAAGAGAAGGCTGAGAGATGATAGCCATATATAAATATGTGAGAGGAAGCCACAGGGAGGAGGGAGCAAGCTTTTTTTCTGCTTCCCTGGAGACTACGACACAATGGAACAATGGCTTCAAACTACAAGAAAGGAGATTCCATCTGAACATGAGGAAGAACTTCCTGACTGTGAGAGCCGTTCAGCAGTGGAACTCTCTGCCCTGGAGTGTGGTGGAGGTTCCTTCTTTGGAAGCTTTTAAACAGAGGCTGGATGGTCATCTGTCAGGGGTGATTTGAATCCAATATTCCTGCTTCTTGGCAGAATGGGGTGGACTGGATGGCCCATGAGGTCTCTTCCAACTCTGTGATTCTATGATTCTATGAAGCCGCTGGGTGAGATCATCTGGAGTTTTGATTTGGATTATGGCACTACTAGAATATGGGATCCAATAAGTTTTTGCCAACATAATGTGAACATTAACAGGATAAAAGTATTTTCTTATAACATTTAAATGACTTGTGTGGGTCTGGTGAACATAACTGCCTTTAAAATGATCAAGGGTCTGGAGAACAAGCCCTATGAGGAGCGGCTTAAAGAGCTGGGCATGTTTAGCCTAAAGAAGAGAAGGCTGAGAGGAGACATGATGAGGGCCATGGATAAATATGTGAGGGGAAGTCATAGGGAGGAGGGAGGAAGCTTGTTTTCTGCTGCTCTGGAGACTAGGATGCAATGACACTCAGCTGGTGCTGAAGATGTAAGGCCAACCGGACTCTGTACCCGATTGTTTCCATCAGTGCCTCGAGGCTGTTACTGGATGGCTGCGTGCCAGCAGGTTGCGGGTGAATCCAGCAAAGACGGAGATCCTATGGCTGGGTCGACCGGGCAGTGGGGACATCCAACTGCCTACCCTGGATGGTGAGGCGCTACGCCCGTTATCGTTGGTAAAGAGTCTGGGAGTCCTTTTGGACCCTCTGCTGATGATGGAGGCCCAGGTCTCCGCCGTTAGCAGAACCGCCTTCTTTAATCTGCGGCAGGCCAGACGGCTGGCCCCCTCCCTGTCCAGGGACGACCTAGCTATGGTGATCCAGGCTACGGTCATCTCAAGACTGCACTACTGTAACACCCTCTACATTGGCCTTCCTCTGTCGGTGATCCGGAAGCTCAAGTTGGTACAAAATGCAGCTGCTCGGCTTCTTGCGGGAATTCCAATGAGATGCCACATAACACCAATCTTACTGCATTGGTGTTATGCATTGGTTACCAATTGAGCATTGGTTACCAATTGAGCTGCATTGGTTACCAATTGAGCACCGGATCACTTTCAAAGTGATGGTACTCACCTTTAAGGCCTTGCATGGTCTGAGGCCGATGTACCTGAGGGACCGCCTCACCCCCTACCAACCCCAGAGATCCCTCCATTCTGAGGACCAAGATTTGTTGGAAATTCCCAGTGTGAAGGCCTTGTGTCTAACAGCAACCAGACACAGAGCCTTCACAGCAGTGGCACCATCACTCTGGAATACTCTGCCACCTGAAGTCCGTGCCTTGCGGGACTTACCAGCTTTCCGCAGGGCATGTAAGACATACCTGTTCCGACAGGCTTTTAATGTTTGATACTGCTGTGTTTAAATTGTTTTAAATTGCTTTTAACTTTTGTTAGATTTTAGCTATTCTTGTAAGCCGCTCTGAGCCCCAGGGGAGTGGTGGCATATAAGTCCAAATAATAAATAAATAAATGGAACAATGGCTTCAAACTACAAGCGAGGAGATTCCATCTGAACAGGAGGAAGAACTTCCTGATTGTGAGAGCAGTTCAGCAGTGGAACTCTCTGTCTTGGAATGTGGTGGAGGCTCCTCTTTTGGAGGCTTTAAACAGAGGCTGGATGGCCATCTGTCGGAGTGGGATTTTCCTGCTTCTTGGCGGAATGGGGTTGGATTGGATGGCCCATTTCTATGATTCTATGAGAGAGTGTGGAGTCCCCGGTGGCGCAATGGGTTAAAGCACTGAGCTGCTGAGCTTGTTGATCGAAAGGTCGCAGGTTCGATTCCGGGGAGTGGCGTGAGCTTCCGCTGTCAGCCCTAGTTTCTGCAAACCTAGCAGTTCGAAAACATGCTCCGGCGGGAAGGTAACAGCGCTCCATGCAGCCATGCCGGCCACGACCTTGGAGGTGTCTACGGACAACGCTGGCTCTTCGGCTTAGAAATGGAGATGAGTACAACACCGCAGAGTCAGACATGACTGGACTTAATGTCAGGGGACTACCTTTACCTTTACCTTACGAGAGGGTGAAAACTCGAGGGCAGGAGGAGGAGAACCACAGGTAGGCAGGCAGGCAGGCAGGCCCTGAGGGGAGGCCTGGCGGGGAGTGCTGAGGAGAAGGCCCGCAGGCCGGGCTCACCTGAGGAGGAGGCACCAGGCGGTGGGCCTTGCTGAGGTGCATGCTCAGCGCCGGCGGGTTGGGCAGCACCTTCCCGCAGCCGGGCACCGAGCAGGGGATGTGGCTCCGCACCGCCCGGGAGAGCTCCGCCACCGAGGGCCTCACCAGCTCCCACGGCGAGGTGGAGGCAGGCGAGGGGGATGATGGCGAGGAAAGAAGCCCTCCGCGGCGAGGAGGCCGCCCGAGCCCCACGCCCCTCCGCGACAGGCACCGCGCCGCCGCCGCCATCTTGCGCCCGGAAGTACCCGGAACCAAGCGTCGCAGCGCTTCCGGTGCGCCGAGGGAGCGAGCCGGCGGCGGGGACAACCCACTCATGCATATTCATGAGCCGGCGCCTTCCTTAGGGCACGCCTCTACTAGCAACACTAGCTTCCTCTTTTGCCCAGGACAAAGCCACGCCCAGATGTGTTGGAATAACATTCCTAAAGTATCAATATAAGCACATCAAAAATAGACTGATATTCTGATATTGTGCTGTGCTAATAATATATATTGTATACACATATAATATTGATAATGTAATGTAATGCAATATAATACCAATAATTCCGGCAAGGAAGACTCCAGCAAGACATGGAGCGAGAGTTGCCAGGTGTACAAGCTGGGTTTAGAAAAGGCAGAGGAAGGAGAAACCAGATTGCCAATATCCCGATGCTGGATAATGGAGAAAGGCAGGGAGTTTCAGAAAAACATCTATTTCTGCTTCATTGACTATTCTAAAGCCTTTGTCTGTGTGGATCATAATAAATTGTGGCAAGTTCTTGGTGGGATGGGCCTACCAAGCCACCTTGTCTCTCTCCTGAGGAATCTGTACAAGGACCAAGTAGCAACAGTAAGAACTGACCACGGAACAACAGACTGGTTCAAGATTGGGAAAGGCGTACGGCAAGGCTGCATACTCTCACCCAACCTTTTTAACTTGTATGCAGAACACATCATGCGATGTGCAGGGCTTGATGAATGCAAAGCTGGGGTGAAAATTGCTGGAAGAAACATTAACAACCTCAGATATGCAGATGACACCACTCTGATGGCCGAAAGCGAGGAGGAGCTGAGGAGCCTTCTAATCAAGGTGAAAGAAGAAAGCGCAAAAGCTGGGCTGCAGCTAAACATCAAAAAAACCAAGATTATGGCAACAAGAATGATTGACAACTGGAAAATAGAGGGAGAAAATGTGGAGGCCGTGACAGACTTTGTATTTCTAGGTGCAAAGATTACTGCAGATGCAGACTGTGGCCAGGAAATCAGAAGACGCTTACTTCTTGGGAGGAGAGCAATGTCCAGTCTCGAAAAAATAGTAAAGAGTAGAGACATTAGACTGGCAACAAAGATCCGCCTAGTCACAAGTAACCTACGGATGTGAAAGCTGGACCTTAGGGAAGGCTGAGCGAAGGAAGATATGCTTTTGAGCTGTGGTGTTGGAGGAAAGTTCTGAGAGTGCCTTGGACTGCAAGAAGATCCAACCAGTCCATCCTCCAGGAAATAAAGCCCGACTGCTCATTGGAGGGAAGGATACTAGAGACAAAGTTGAAGTACTTTGGCCACATCATGAGGAGAATGAATTAGAACCAGACATCCTGAGGAGTGAGGTTGAAGGGGCCTTAAGAAGCATTGCTAACAACAAGGCAGCAGGAGACGACGGGATCCCAGCTGAACTGTTTAAAATCTTAAAAGATGATGCTGTCAAGGTGATGCATGCCATATGCCAGCAAATATGGAAAACACAAGAATGGCCATCAGACTGGAAAAAATCAACTTATATCCCCATACCAAAAAAGGGAAATGCGAAAGACTGCTCAAACTTCCGTACAGTGGCCCTTATTTCTCATGCCAGTAAGGTAATGCTCAAGATCCTGCAAGGAAGACTCCAGCAATACATGGAGCGAGAGTTGCCAGATGTTCAAGCTGGGTTTAGAAAAGACAGAGGAACGAGAGACCAGATTGCCAATATCCGCTGGATAATGGAGAAAGGCAGGGAGTTTCAGAAAAACATCTATTTCTGTCTATTGACTATTCTAAAGCCTTTGACTGTGTGGATCATAATAAATTTTGGCAAGTTCTTGGTGGGATGGGTATACCAAATCTCTCCTCTCTGGGAGAGGAGCCGATTTTTTGTTGTTACTAAATTCCAATCATGAGACAAAAGCTGGGTTCAATGACACTTGCATACCTGTTCAATGACATCTTATTTTCCATGCATTCTTTGGAAGAATATCAACATGAAATAATGATGACGCAGAATAAACTTTACAAACAAAAAATTATTTATATTTACAGATGAGAAGATATATACAAGTTGATCAATTTTCTGAAAAGTCAAATGTATACATGACTAAAAACCGCAATGCAGTAATGAAAAATAGGCAGTCACATTGCAATGTCTTGCTGTTATAATTTTAAAGTACATATAATGTAATAAATAGATAAAATGAACACCTTTCACTAAAATCCAAGTCTATTTACGTGGCTGAATAAAATCCCCTTTCGTCCATTATTTTTGAATGGTTAAATATAACACCAGGGAAATTTATTTATTTATTGGGTTGCTATGAGTTTTCTGGACTGTATGGCCATATTCCAGAAGCATTCTCTCCTGGTGTTTCGCCCACATCTATGGCAGGCATCCTCAGAGGTTGTGAGGCCTGTTGGAAACTAGGCAAGGGAGGTTTATATATCTGTGGAATCTGGTAGAAAGAATTCTTGTCTGTTGAAGGCAAGTATGAACATTGCAAGAGTTCTTTCTCCCACACTGGGCATTCCATTTGCATAGTTTCCAACAGATTAGACAACCTCTGAGGATGCCTGCCAAGGATGTGGATTAAATGTCTGGAGAAAATGCTTCTGAACATGGCCATTAGCCCGGAAAACTCACAGCAACCCAGTGATTCCAGCCATGAAAGCCTCCGACAACACATTCCAGCCAGCTTAAAACAAGCTGTTATAAAACCGCAAAGAACCATCCAGCGGAGTTGTTTCGAGTAGTCAGAGAGTTGTTGAAGTTCACCTTTCAGGATGGGTCCCCTCATGACTTGGCAGCCCACTGTGAAGCGTTTGCTCAGTACTTTGCGGACAAAGTCGCTTTGATCCATGCAGACTTTGACACCATGTTAACGGCAGTCTCTGAGGATGGACAAGCGAGCACCTGGTTGTCCAATTTTGATGGATTCGTTTCAATCTGTTCAACTTGAGGATGTCAACAGGATTCTTGGGGAGGCAAGGCCAACCACATGCATCCTAGACCCCAGCTCATCCTGGCTGGTAAAAGCCAGAGGGGGTTTGGCAGAGTGGGTGAAGGTGGTGGTTAATGCCTCCCTTCGGGAAGGCATCATTCCAGCCAGCTTAAAACAAGCTGTTATAAAACCGCTGTTGAAAAAGCCATCACTGGATCCCACTCAATTTGTCAACTATCAGCCAGTTTCCAATCTCCCCTATTTGGGCAAAGTCCTGGAACGTGTGGTGGCCTCGCAACTCCAGGAGTTCCTGGTAGACACGGATTATCTGGATCCGGCGCAGTCTGCTTTAGGACGGGGCATGGTACCGTGACAGCCTTGGTCGCCTTACTGGATGATCTTCGCCGGGAACTGGACAGGGGGAGTGTGTCCCTGTTGGTTCTGCTGGACCTCTCTTCGGCCTTCGATACTGTCGACCACGGTATCCTTCTGGGACGTCTTGCGGGGATGGGCCTTAGGGGTACTGCTCTGCAGTGGCTCCAGTCCTTCCTCGAGGGGCGCTCCCAGAAGGTGTTATTAGGGGGACGCCTGCTCGACTCCATGGCCTTTGTTCTGTGGGGTCCCGCAGGGCTCTGTACTGACCCCTATGTTGTTCAACATATACATGAAGCCATTGGGAGAGATCATCCGGAGTTTTGGGGTTCGGTGTCACCTGTACACAGATGATGTCTGTGAAGCAGACCGTTTTAATGCCACCGAATGCCACCATTTGTGAAGGAGTGTGGTTGAACTTACTGCCACCTAATCTGTGAGGGAAGCCGGGCAACGATCAATATCAGCTTAGGAGCTATTTTATAAAGGGACTATTAATTACAGAAGGCTTTATTAATTTGATAGCGTAGCATTTACTGTCCCTAACTTGACTTTACTTATGCAGGTTGTTCAACTTAGGAGAAACTGTATCAGGCAAGGCTTGAGGAAAACAGTAACAAGTTTATTTTAACAGGAGTATAACACGTTTAACTGTTTCTTCACAAGAGGCACAAATCTTGATTGGTTACATTAGTAATGTTTCATGAGTAATCTCAGGCACAGTCTTCAAGAAGTTTCTATAAGCAGATGTAACCCTTCTGGACAACTGTCCTAATATAACAAATAAGCTAAAAGGCTTATTTAACAGAATTCCCTATAGCACACCGGCTACAGACACATTCCTTGAATCTCCACCCAGAGACTCAGTCTTCCCTATAGCACACCGGCTACAGACACATTCCCTGAATCTCCACCCAGAGACTCAGTCTACCCAGTAGCTCACCGGCTTACTGACTCGTTCCCTGAATCTCCTTCAGAGACTCAGTCTACCCAATAGTTCACCGGCTTACTGACTGACTTTTAAAAACAGCTGCCCCATGAAGAGGCAGTTGGCTCCGCCCGTTGCTATGGCAACTCAGCCAACGCCAAGCCACCATCTCCAACAAAACACAATCCTACATACTTACCATCATTAAACCACTATTTAAATTACACATAACCAAAGGAATAAAATTTACACATTGTCACAATGTCCAACTCTGTTACTCCTTTCCACCTGCTACTAGGGAGGCTGTTCAGGTCCTGAACCGGTGCTTGCCACTGTAACGGACTGGATGAGGGACAACATATTGAAACTAAATCCAGACAAGACAGAGGTACTCCTGGTCAGTCGAAAGGCCGAACAGGGCATAGGGTTACAGCCTGTGCTTGACGGGGTTACACTCCCCCTGAAGGCGCAGGTTTGCAGCTTGAGAGTGATCCTGGACTCATCGCTGAGCCTGGAACCCCAGGTCTCGGCGGTGGTCAGGGGAGCTTTTGCACAATTAAAGCTTGTGCGCCAGCTGCGCCCATACCTTGGGAAGTCTGACTTGGCCACGGTGGTCCACGCTCTGGTTACATCCCGTCTAGACTATTGCAATGCTCTCTACGTGGGGTTGCCTCTGAAGACTGTTCGGAAACTTCAACTAGTCCAACGGGCGGCAGTCAGACTGCTAACAGGAGCTGGGTACAGAGATCATACGACCCCTCTGTTACGCCAGCTCCACTGGCTGCCGATTAGCTTCTGGGCACAATTCAAAGTGCTGGTTTTGAACTATAAAGCCCTAAACAACTCCGGCCCAGTCTACCTGTCCGAACGGATTCTCCCCTATGAACCATCAAGGTTATTAAGATCTTCCGGAGGGGCCCTGCTCTCGGTCCCACCTCCTTTGCAATCGCGTCTGGTGGGAACGAGGGACAGGGATTCTCGGTGGTGGCTCCCCGGCTTTGAAACTCCCTCCCACTAGAGATTAGATCTGCTCCCTCCCTCCTGACTTTCAGGAAACTAATAAAGACCTGGCTGTGGAATGTGGCTTTTAAGGACTGATCTCATAATCTTGGTCCACATGGAAGGAAGAGGATGAACTGTGACTATGACTGTGATTGTATGACGATTTGGCTTGGGTAATGAGATTATGATGTTTTTACTGTACGATTTTAATCTGTAATGTTGATGTATTTTGTTTTTGTATATTATTGTAATTTGCATATATGCTGTAAACCAGCCTGAGTCCCTCGTAGAGGTATAGAAAACTTCTAAATAAATAATAAATAAATAATGGGAATCCCTGGCCTGTGAGCATTCCAGCTGGAGGTCAGCTGTGACCAGCAGTGCTGAGGCATGAATGGAGGGCAAAAGGGTGAAATGTGCGAAGAGGAAGGTGCGTCAAGCCAACCCTGACCAGGACTGCCTTCCACCTGGAAAACGATGTCCTCACTGCGGGAAAACATGCAGATCAAATAATTAATAAAATAATTTCAAAAAAGAGAGTGTAATTGTTTTATTATTTAATAAACAAAAAAATCTAGACACAATATTTATCAGCTTTAATTATCAGCAGGCTTAAGTATGACCATTCCTTTTCACAGCTGAAGACTGAATCATGTTGAATAAAGTTGTAATACTGTATTAAAAATGAGAATTCAAACTAGCTGAGACCAAGCAAGTGCCCAAAAGGTAATATGACTAGTTTTGGTGAGTGTTCAGTTTCATAAAGTTTGACCTTATGGCCTTCCACAGAAGATTGCTTTTTAATATTACAAAAGCAACGTAGAAAAACTGGATTGCTGTGAGTTTTCCAGGCAGGCCATGTTCCAGAAGCACTCTCTCCTGATGTTTCGCCCACATCTATAGCAGCCTCAAAGGTTGTGAGGTTTGACAACTTCTGAGGATGCCTGCCACAGATGTGGGCAAAACATCAGGAGAGAATGCTTCTGGAACATGACCATACAGACCGGAAAACTCACAGCAATGCAGTGATTCTGGCCATGAAAGCCTTCGACAACACAAATGTAGAAAAAGTTCAGCCAGAGATTGTACCAGATATATACATCAAAACATGTCACCCAGTCAAAGCAGTTAGTTTAGATAACCTACCAATTTGACCGTCCTACTGTAACTGGATGCAACAATCCGTGGAGAACTCAGCAGTGTCATTTCCCATTAGTCAAACCATAATCCATGGAAATGGCTACATAGGTTCTTTCGTCTACTTGTAAATACATCCCTGACCAGGAGAGCAATTTCAATCTGCTCCTTCTCTCTCTCTGATATTAAAATGGTTCCTGGCTTTTGGAGTGATGCAAGTAAGTAACGCGGAGAGTGGAGCGTCTGCTACTCCTAAGAAATGAGACAAAAAAAAAAAAACCCGCACCATTAGAACCAATTGTCTAAGTACAAATTCTATTATTATCTATATATATAAATGCTCTGTGCATAATGAGTACCTTAAAAACAAAAGAACTAATGAACAAAATCACACCAAATTTGGCAACAAAACATCTCACTACACAAGGAGTGGCCATCACTCAAAAAATTATGATTTTGTCATTTGGGAGTTGTAGTTGCTGGGATTTATAGTTCACCTATAATCAAAGAGCATTCCGAACTCCACCAATGATGGAATTGAACCACACTTGGCACACAGGCCTTCATACTAGCAGCGGTTGGTGGGCATTGACCTTGAGTTTGGGAGTTGTAGTTCACCTACATCCAGAGAGCACTGCGGACTCAAACAATGATGGATCTGGACCAAACTTGGAACGAATACTCACTAGGCCCAAATATGAAAACAGATGGAGTTTAGGGAAAATAAACCTTGGCATTTGGGAGGTGGGATTTATAGGTCACCTACAATCAAAGACCATTCTGAATGAACCCCATGAATGACAGAACTAGGGCAAACTTCCCACACAGAATCCTCATGACCAACAGAAAATACTTAAGGCTATCCAGTCCAACTTCCTTCACCAGGCAAGAAAATGTAATCAAAGCCCTCCTGACAGAGAGCCATACAGCCATAGATATAGATAGATAGATATGATTCACACACACACACATATAAAGTATTATAGATTTGAAAGGGAGCCCTAAAGAAGGACAATTATGTGTTGCATGTTCCAGAGTAGGCAAAACAGACAATCTCTATGTCAACATTGTGAAAGAAACATCAAGAAATACTGTTTACCCACAAGCATAAAGACATTACATATATTAGAAACCAGCACTTTATTTTCCAGATCACCGGACTGGGCCACAGCAACGCATGGCAGGGGACTGCTAGTTTGTTTATAGAATTGTCGTTTTCATGTACTTCAGGAAGAAATTCAGAAGCTGGCAGTGCTTGCTTTTACTGTGTCACAAAACAGATTTGACATTCCCACTAGTACAGCTGTTCTGAAAAGTATTTTTATTTTACTTTGGAGTCCTATAGTGCTTTAAAATATTTTTCTTATTGGCACATTGGTTTTGAGTTTGTTTAGAAGCGATATGGAAAACTGGTTTGGCTTAATATGAAACAAGATTTTTTGTTGGCACACAGAACCAGAGTTTCAAAAATTCGAGTTCCACCAGTCTGCGTTTCTATTATTATTATTATTATTATTATTATTATTATTATTATTATTATTATTAATGAAATCCAGCATAGAGATCTTGTTTGCCGTGACATACTGTGGTTTTGTGTCAGTAAAATAACAATCTATATGAATAAAAATGTAATGGTCGTTTGCAGGATTAACATACTGTATATACTCGAGTATAAGCCTAGTTTTTCAGTCCTATTTTTAGGTTGAAAAAGTCTCCACTGGCCTATACTCGAGTCAAGGTTATTTATTATTTTACTTTGTTGCTGTTTGCTTTACTTTATTATTGTTGTTATTACATTTATTATTTTACTCTATTTATTGTTATTGTTACATTTATTATTTTACTCTATTATTATTATTACATTTATTATTTCACTCTATTACTATTATTATTATTATTATTTTACTCTATTTATTATTATTGGAAGGATACGTAAGCATATTTACGTTGAAAAAGGTTAGAATAATGGTTGAATCAGAGTTGGACAATCTTATGTTGAATTACAGGTTTATGTAAATATTCAAAAACATTTGATCAACTGATGCCTCAATTAATGTAATTTTATTGGTATCTATTTTTATTTTGAAATTGATACGTAAATGCTGCATTTCCCACCCTCGGTTTATATTCGAGACAATCCATTTCCCCAGTTTTTTGTGGTAAAATTAAGTGCCCCGTAGGCTTGGGTAATCAAGAAAAAAATTGGTTCTAAACTCGTTTCGTATCTAGGGGTCGCCAGCGTTTCTAATCTGAGAGGATTTCCGAAATTTCCAATTTTAAAATTTCAATATTTAAGAAATTTCGTAAATATATGAATCAATTCGTTAATGGCCGACACGATTGCGCAATACGCGAAAAAAACCTCCAAACGGGACAGGGGGAACTTCTGAAGCTTCCCTTCTCCCTCTGTTGTTGACTGTTGGTGATAAAACTAACAACAACTAACCAAAACAAAACTATATTATATTATAATAATATTATTATATTATATTATTATTATATATTATATTATATATTATTATTATTAAGAATGGATGGCCATCTGTCAGGGGTGCTTTAATATACAATTATATTAATATAATATAATAATAATAATATAATAATATACAATTATAATAATAATATTATATATATATAATATATTATATTATATATGATATAATATATATAATATATATACGGTAATAATATAATATATATTATAATATATA